ATATATATATATATATATATATATATATATATATTTCTCGCGTATGTTGTTTAATTTCAGCTATAGTAGACAGTAATAACTAAATAAAATTGAAATAAGATAACTAAGAAGTAAGAATAGAATATTGAACCATCTATAAAGAAATTCCCAAAAATTCAGAAAAAATGGAAATTAAGCTTAAGCGACACGATGTTTTCCCCCCAAATCCATTTCTTACCATCAATGCAACAGCAAGCCACAAAATATGGCGCAAAAATAGTTCAAGTAACGAAAATAGCGATAAAAATCAAAGAAATTAGAGATCCAAAAAAAGAGTTTGAAGAAATTTCGAACAGAGACAGAGAAGAAGAAGAAGAAAGATAAGTTACATGGAATCTGCGTGAGAGCTGCGTATTTTTGCGTGCATTGGTTTCCGCAAGGAGACGACCATTGTTGAGGTATCATCCTTTAATTCTTCGTTTTCCCTCTTTTTTTTTTTTTTTCCTTTCTTTTCTTTTGCTTTTTTATGTGCAATGGCGCGAGCTGAAGAGGGACGGCTCGATGATGAAAGGGTATTTCGGTCATTCTGTCGGCTTATCAGTTTGGGAGTCAGAGCGTCTCTGGCTAAACAAGAACAGACGACGGCGGTTGTTCTCAAATTTAGAGCCCGTTTAGTTCATGAATTAGAATTATAAAATTAAAATTATTTTTGATTTATGTGTATTTTTTATGAAAAAAAATATTATAACGAATTATAAATCATGATTCGAATCAGAGAACGAATCCTCCAATCAGACGGGCTCTAGTTGTAGTTTATAAGTTTATTGATTATCGTTTTATTTTACGCTGCTGTACTTTTTTATTGCGCTTTTACAATTCGTTGTCGCCTAATTATGTGTTATTATCTTGCTAATTTCGTTGTCGGTTTTTCATTTACTTGTCGTTTGTTGTGGTAATTTTCTTCATCAATCTTACGGTTCTATTTTTGTTGTTGTTCTTCATTTTGTGGTCGTTTATAGAAGTGTTTTATCTTTCTTACGTTTATTGTTTGTTTATTTCATTTTCGTTTACGTATTAATCAAGTTTTAATACTTTGTCGTCCTTACATCCTTTAAGCCCTCTCTCACATTTTCGTCTGATAATTTTTCTCCTCGTATTCATGTTGTCGCTTCATTCTTCAAGTCGTTTTTACCGTTGTTGTCGTTTGTGATTTTTAATTGTTGTTTTAAACTTTCTTGTTGTACCATTAGTGTTGTCGTTTTTCATTTTTGGTGTCGTTTCATTTCTCATTGTTTTAGTTTTCGTGGGCGCTTATTGAAGCGATTTGTCCTTCCTCACGTTATTGTCGTTTTGGCAAAAATTTATTTACTTATCTTTGTCGTTTTCAGTTTGTTGTAATTTTATTCTTGTTGTTTTACACTTTTGTTGTCGTTTATTATTATTTTTTTTGTCCAGTTATCGTTAGTATCGTTAGCGATCATTTTGTTATCGTTTTTTCAGTGTTGTTTTTGACTTTGTTCTTTGTTCGTTCTTCCAGTCGGCTTTCCTTCAATTTGTGTCGTCATTGTTAGTATTATTAGTAATTTGTCTTGTCGTTTGTCCATTTTATTTTCATCGCTTATTATTTTAATTTTTTAATTTGTTGTAATAATAGACTTTACCGTTTTTTATTATTCGCCTTTATGTTGTCCTTTATTTTTTTTAAGAGTCTTAAATGCCGACTCTATTTCAAACTCTATTTTAAATGTTATGAAACGTTTTGTTCATAGATTCAGAATCATAATTTAGAATTATTTTTAATTTATGTGTATTTTTTATGAGAGAAAATATTTTAGTGAACTACGAATTATTATTCGAATCAGAGCACGAATTCACCAACCAAACGCACTCTTAATCTCTTGTTTGCCACTTATCAATTTACTCTTATGAAACAAACCACTACAATAATAAGTCACCCTTTTATATCTTATTTATAAAATTGCCACTTGTCCATTATCAATTAAATGTTATTGTTCTCTTTGGTTCTTTTCTTTTTCATTTTCCTTTGTAACTTTTTTATTTATAATTTCGTAATAAAATATTTTAATGTATATATTACTGGGTAAAATGAAAATATTTAATTTCCATTAATTAAAAATAAGACTTGGTTCCTCACGCCAATTAGTTTGCATGAATTTCTCCCAAGTTAAAAAAATCCGATTTTGTAATTGCTTTATTGTGCTGGAAGAACCACTATATATACAATAAGAACTTGATGTGGGTCATCTATCTGTTGTAATTTCAAAGAAATACTGGGCTCATTGCGATCGGTGAAAAGCATATAAAGAAATCAGGGAAGGTTAAATACTTAAATGTAAATCCAAAGAAAGATTAGCCCTATATATACTTGTTTTAATCATTGTGTTCTTAATAAAACCATTGAATTCTCTCTCATCTTTATATGTTTTTTTTGGTTTGGAATAAAACGACGTCTATTGTTATTATATTCTTTCTACGAGTCTAATAATATTGAACACTAAAAAGTATTTATTATAAAATAAAAAAGTTAAAAACCAAATGAAAAATAAAATTGAACACTAAAAAGTATTTGGACTAAAACGATTGGGTTAAAAATTAAAATGATACGACAGTCGTAATCTGACGTTACAAAAAGCTGAAAAAAAGAATGAAATGATTGGCTTAAAAATTGATTAGCACAAATATAAACACAAAACGAAAACCAAAAGGTAAAGAACAATCTTCATACGAGAAATAGCAAAAAAAAAAAAAAAAAAAAAAAAAAAAAAAAAAAAAAAAAAAAACATAACTCCATGTAATTTTTTGAAATAGTTATTAAAAGGTAGAAAGATTTTGCAATAAAAATAATTTAAATTTTAGTAATATAATATGTGAAATGTATGGAGAGAAGATTCTCTATCATTAGTTTAGCTGCTGTAACAAAATTTAATTATATAATTAATTCTCTCATCCTTTTTCGTTATTTTATCTAAGTCTTTTTATCATAAGAAATTTTTAATTTTAAAGAGTGTAAAAAGTAAAAAGAGATGTGTATATAGAATCACCATTCTAAAAACATGCACATTAATTATAATCTTTCATGTTTTGGTAATTTTTTTTTATGGATGTTTTGGTGAAATTTTTGTCATTTCAAATAATTAATTAGGAAATAAACAGTTAGAAAATAGAATTATGATCTGTTTAGTTCGCTGATTTAAATTTTTAATTCGAGTTGATGTGTGACTTTATATTAGTACTTTTATTGTAATAAAAAAATTAAATGTGATTGTTTTTTAAACTTTTTACTATAATAAAATTTAAAACGGTAAAATGAATGATGCGTTAGTGTTCTATGAATATAAATGACTTTATTGCGAAAAAGTCCAAATTAAACTACAAAATAAAAACTGAGCTGTCACGATTGGATCAATTGAATCTGAATCCAAAAGGAATCTTCTCTCATTCAGAGGGGGTGAAATTGACATTTACTACAACCTCACGCGAGACAAGTCCTCACTACAAACAGAATCCAGTAATATCAAAGATTTACCTCAGTTTTTCAACTACTCGCGTTTTCATTGGTCGGTAATTTATCGCCCGACAAAAACCTGTGATTCACCAACTGGTCCACTTCCGAATAAAAACACCGCCCACTTGCATATACAAGTGGAAAAAAATGTTCAAAATACCACTCACTAAAAAGGAAATAAAATAAAATAAAATAAAAGGTGCACAAAATTGTTTAACACATCTTAATGGTCCAGATGTCAGCACCTGATTGGTTGAAGATTTTTCAAACCTTTTTTAGTCCCCGATAATGAAGTGCAAAGATTTTTCAGGCTCATGAAAAGTTCATGAACCTCTCCACGACACGAGCGAGATTCTTCTCTCTCTTTCTCTCTCTTATTGGTCAGTGTAACGCATAATATTAGAAGTAGATGAAGAAGAGAGAGAATATGGAGAATAGGCTTCAATGGAGGCTCTTTCCCCTGCTTGCGATACTCGCTTCATATTTGGTCTTCTTCTACGTCCAAAACCATTCCGAGGTTTGATTCTGGTTTACATACTTTTCTATTATTGAGCTTTATAATTACTTATTATTATTATTATTGTTGTTATTTTGTGAACTGGTCTGTTTTTTATTTTTTTTTTATTTTTTTGTTGGAAGAATTATTTCGTTGATTTCGATGAGATGGAAATCTTTCTTAGAAGTTGAATAATGAGCTTTTTGTGGGGGAATTGATTTTCTTCCTCGGGTTTTTTTCTGGTTCAGTTGGTTCAAAAAGTTACCAAATATAGATAATAGAGGTTGCTTTATTATTATTATTTTTTTTAGGGAGAAAGAGGAAAATAGGCCAAGACTTAAGATGAATTAAAATTAATAAGTCAATAGTTTACATAAGTTAATAAATAAGTTAAATTACTGTTTTCGTCCATAATTTGTCTGCTTATGAACCATAACTTGACAAGTTATTCACGGTTTTTGTTCATAACTTGTCTGACTATGAACCATAACTTAACAAGTTTATCCATAACTTATCTGGTTATAAACCATAACTTGACAAGTTTATCCATAACTTATTTAGTTATGAACCATAACTTGACAAGTTATGGCATATTAATTTCTACAACTAAAAATTGACCTATATACTTTCTTAAGGTTTTCATATTGGCATATTTTTTACTATTTCTTTTTTTTTTACTACCAAATGATAGTAGTTAATTTAGTCATTAGTGACTTAATTTGTGGCCAAATTAACCAAAAAAAAAAAGAACAATTAAAATTAAAACAGTGTTTCTGTTTCTGTATAAATCGGCATTTGAGAAAGGTTCAGTTACAATCAGGGTAATAACTATTATGATCAGGCATTTTAATTTGATTTGTTTTGTTATTTTCATCTTCAATTTTTTTTAAATACAGTCTCTTTTAGTTTCCATGAGAAGTGACAATTGGCTTAAAAGAAAGCTATTAATTGCATTTTATGTACAACTCATCATCGTGTGTGTTGTCTAGTGTACATGTTTTAGATACCACGTGTGTGTGTGTGTATTCATGCGTGCTTATGCTTCTATAATATTTTTTCTATTAACAAAAAAAAAATTCTGAACCTAAAAAAAAAAAAAAAAACAAAAAAAAAAAAAAAAAAAAAAAAAAAAAGAAGAAGAGAGATAGAGAAAGAAAAAAGAAAAAAATATTGTCTTCCATGATCTCAAAAGTTATGGACGTTTGGTTCATAAATTTAAAATTATAATTCAGAATTATTCTTAATTTATGTGTTTTTTTTTTTAAAAAAAAATTATAACGAATCATAAATCATGATTCAAATTATAGCATGAATTCTCGTTACCGCAAGCGGAACCCACCTTCAGATAGCCACACTGTTTGGGCTGCAACGGTGGTGGGCTAAATTTGTACTTTTGCTTGAGTACACAACTGGGCCTGCCTTTAGTCATTTAAAAAAAAAGTTGCAAAATGACCAGGTTCCTGTGTATTTAATAGCTATTGAAACAATAATATCATCTGGGATGTACCGTTTTTCTATATTGATAGGTGGATTTTAAGAAAAATTAAAAAAGGATGAGAAGGTTATTATTTGTCATTTTTGAATTTAACGAAAATTTCACAATTTGTGAACTTTTTTTTTTCCTTCCTTGCATGATGAACATATATGTAATCAACTTAAAAAAAATGAAAATTTTATGGAAGAGTAGGAAAAAAATTATGGAAATAGAATTCTTATCTGTTTTGAAGCATCAAATCATATTTCGCCAATTATATATACATTTCATCTTAATATAATTTTAATCTAATCCAACGTTCATGCACATACATATACACACCATATGAAGCTAAGAAAAAAGTTTTATGTTTAAGAGATATATGTTCCAAGGTTAAAAGTACAACTTTTTCCACAGAATCTCTTCTTTTAGAAGGCGCTATACACAGTTTAAAATTATATATAGATGTGTGTATATTATAGTATGTGTTTTGCGTCTCTAAATTTCTCAATTTGTAGTGAATTTTATATACATACGTTGAGTGTTTTGTTAATCTTTCACTTCTGAAATCTTGGTGTATAGCAATTTGATAGAGTTATATATATATATATATATATATATATATATATATATTAAAGCAATTTGATAAAGTTTAAAACCTTATTCTTACAGCTCTCACATAATAGATGTAGTCTGCTGCCTCACCAACACTATTGGATAGCTAGCAAGCGGATTGTGATACCACAAGGGATTATATCTGGAGCAGGCATGTTCAATAATTAATTAAGATTCCGTTCATTTTACTGATTTGAGTTTAAAATTCGAGTTTTGTTATAGTAAAAAGTTATAAAAAACAGTTACATTTAACTTTTTTGTTACAATAAAAAGCTCTCACATAAAATTACATCTCAACTCGAATTAAAAACTCGAATCAGCGAACTAAACGGCCTTAAATTGTATTCTAAATCCTTAATTAAAGAAATAAATATCCAAACAAATTGTTAGAAAGACCGAAGAAGAAGGGCTTGATCTGTTTTTCTAAAGTCATTTGTTTTTTAAACTTTTTTTTTTTTTTTTGGGAATGTGTTAATGAGCAGTTGAGGTGAAGAATGGGAAGATTGTATCGATTGTCAAAGAAGAAGAAAGGTTGTGGAGTTCCAAGTTGGGGCAAGTAATTGACTATGGAGATGCGGTTGTCATGCCTGGCTTGATTGACGTGTAAGATTAAGATATAATTAGTTTCATTCTGTGGAATAATACCATGATTAGACATAATTAGCATGATACCATGAATGGTTGAAAAACATTGATAATCACGGTTAGTAACGGCGCCATATACTAATGAGTGGGGCACGTGTCCCCATTTGACAATCATGATCGGTTGAAATATTGTAATTTTGTTCCGGCTCAATAACTAATAAATATGACTATATTCACATTTAATGAAATTTTTCTCTCTTTAATTTTTTATAGCACTCCCATTAGAAAGTATTTTTTCCATTTATTTCACCGATTTGAGTTTATAATTTAAATTTTACTATAATAAAAAATTTTCAGAACAGTCACATTTAATTTTGTTGCTACAGTAAAAAGTTCTCACATAAAGTCATATCTTAACTCGAATTAAAAATTAGAATCAACGAACTAAATGAGCACTTACTCTACCATTGATATTTTTGGTTATTTGCTCTCTCTAAAATGATATATTTTGAATCAAAATAATGCTCTGGTTCTTGATCATGGCAGGCATGCACATCTTGATGATCCCGGAAGAACTGAATGGGAAGGATTTCCTTCAGGAACTAAAGCGGCTGCTGCTGGTATTACAACATTTCGTACCGCTACATTTGCTTAAATTGTTTGTGATAATTTTTTTGCTATAATTATAATTATATCGTATCTATTTTATTCACCTAAATTTATCGATTCTGTAAATTGCATTCATTTTCCGCAACATGCATTATGTCTCATATAGAAGTCACTAGACGTTTCCAAGTGGGGTTAAGTGGGACTAATCAAGCCCCCACTCAACCTTTTTTCTTCTTCTAAATATATATATATATATATATATATATATATATGACTACGTCACTTATTAGATCAATATACATATAATGTTCATTTTACCGATTTGAGTTTAGAATTCGAGTTTTGTTACAGTAAAAAGTTCTCAGAAACAGTCACATCTAACTTTTTTTACTGCAGTAAAAATTTAATCTTATAATCTTATTGTTATTATTTTAATTATTAGCGTCACTGAAAGTTTCTTTGCTCTGTCAGAGGTGTTAGTACATATATAAGCACTCTTATTATTTGGTTCATTTATTGTTTCTCAGGAGGTATAACGACATTGGTTGACATGCCTCTGAATAGTTTCCCCTCAACTGTGTCTAGGGACACATTGAAACTTAAGGTATGAACATTATGCAATAATGGATTAAGTTCCTCGCTTTTCATTTATTCTAATGACCTTGATTGTTTCGTTTTATTATTATTATCATTGCATTATTTTATTATTGCTCTTTTCCCTAAATAATCTTTTGTTGTTTGTGCTCCATAGATTAAGTCGGCAGAGAACAGAATTCATGTCGATGTTGGTATGCTCTTGGACCTATATATATACCTTGACATGTTGACACTTTTGAAATTTATTATTTATTTTTCTGACTAGTTTTTTCAACAGGTTTTTGGGGAGGTCTTGTTCCTGAAAATGCGTTCAACCATTCCGCTCTTGAAGACCTCTTAAATGCTGGTGCTCTTGGTCTAAAGGTAACTATTACGTGAATACAAAAAGTAACAAAGTAAGTGACAGAAAGAGTGACGCAAGTATTTCTCTTATCAAATAAGTGAAACAGTTCGTGGTTCTCAAATTTTAATAGCACCATAATCATATAGCAACTATTATGTCCAATACATGATGAATCTTGCTCTTTTTTGTTTTGCAGTCGTTTATGTGTCCTTCAGGGATCGATGATTTTCCCATGACAAACATTAGTCATATTAAGGTATGTTCAATGATGCTCAATCCTAATGCTTTTATAAAAACCAAAATCCACGTGGGATTGAAACAAACGAATTAAATGTGTATTTTGTACAAAAATCAATCTAGTGTCTTTCAAATATCTTTATATATTTTCGGATATTAATAATTTGTTCCTTAGGAGGGCCTGTCAATACTTGCAAAATTTAGAAGACCTTTACTTGTGCATTCAGAGATTCAAAAAGATCTTGAAAGCCCTTTGGGACTCGAAGAAGATGGTGCCAATGACCCTCGTTCTTATTCAACATATCTCAAGACTAGGCCGCCTTCAATGTAAGATGTTGCTTTTAAGTTTTAACTATTCTTCTTAGTTAACATTGGTTACATACTTTTCGCTTTTCCTTTATTCAATTTGTTTGAACGATTTCGTATAGTTCAGGGGGGTGAAAATAAAACTTTTTTAAGATTCGGAGGCGTGTTAAATTAGGTTACGTAATTAAGGGGCATTTATAAAGTTAATCCCTTTTATCTTATTCAAGAGGAAAACAATAATTCTATGTGCTTATGATATATTACTTGTTGGGTTTACAGGTTGCTGAAACTTTCCAACTCTGTTTTTTTAACTTTTTGGTTCAAACACAGGGAGGAAGCAGCTATTAGGGAGCTCTTGACAGTGTCAAAAGACACGAGGATTGGTGGCCCTTTAGTTGGAGCTCATCTTCACATTGTTCACTTGTCTGATTCAAGTTCTTCCTTGAATCTTATCAAGGTAATCTTTACTAATTACGCGCTAATCAGACGCTTATTGCTCCATCAACTGATACACATAACACAATGATGATTACAAGTTTTTAACGTATAGGGGCCGGCATGAGTGAAAACTGGATTCATCATCTGAATAAAAAGGAGTCAAGTTCTTTCGTTCCATTAGTGAGCCCTCAGATTTTCAAAGTGACAAAAGGGGGTGGCATGACACCAAAGGTTCCCTTTTTTATTATATGTATAAAAAAATCTTAATAGGGGCCATTTTCTTTTCTTCTTGCTTAAATTAAGTGAGTATTGTATTTGGACATGCTCACTTGTTTATAAAGGAAGCCACACCTTTTAATCCACAGCTTAGTACCCCCATTTCCCTCTTAATGTATTTCACAAAGCAAAAAAAAAAAAAAAAAGTTTTTGATGTCATTTTTATTTTATTTTATTTTTTAAAAATAAAAAATAAAGAAAATCATAAAAAATAGAATATTTATCAAAAAAATGGTACCGTTTGTTGTATTAATTCTTAAAAATTGTGTATTAATTTTAAAATACAAAATATATATAAAAATATAAATTTTTGTATCGCGACCCCGGAGCGCCTATGTTGTGCCATGCCTCGCTACATTCTCCTCTTTCCTTCTCTTTTCTTTTCTTTTAACTACTATAGTCTTCATCTTTTGCCATCTGTTTTGTACTCCTTGACAGGAAGCAAAACGTGGCGGTGACAGTTTGACTGTTGAGACTTGCCCACACTACTTGGCTTTCTCAGCGGAAGAAATTAAGGACGGAGACACTCGTTTTAAGTGTGCGCCACCCATTCGCGACGCAGTCAATAGAGAAAAACTGTGGGAGGCAGTAATGGTGTGTGATCAACTCATATATTTGTATCTCATGATTTATAGGCATTCCCATAGGTTTGCCGTCTGCTGTTTCTTCGGCTCAACTTAGCTTCACTTTGTTGCAGGAAGGACATATCGACATGTTAAGTTCCGATCATTCGCCAACAGAGCCAAAACTCAAGCTTCTTGAGGAGGGTAACTTCTTAAAGGCATGGGGAGGAATATCATCTTTGCAGGTTGGCCTAATTTTGTTTCTATCTTTGGTTTTAAACATTCTCTTCTTATAGGGGCAAGAGGGCAATTTTATTTTTTTTTCTTCTTTCTTGATTGCTTCAGTGAGTGATTTACGTACGTCTAATAGTTGCTATTGTAACTGGTTAAATCATGCCCGTTTAGTTCGCTGATTTGAGTTTTTAATTTGAGTTGAGATGAGACTTTATGTGAGAGTTTTTTACTATAACAAAAAAACATGTAACTGTTTCTGAGAGCTTTTTACTGTAATAAAACTCGAATTCTAAACTCGAATCGGTAAAATGAACGAGACTTAAATGTCCTAATGGATCATGATAATATGTATACATGAATAACAAATGAGGACTATTGTTTTAATTGGGTTTTGATGTTTGTTCTTGTAGATGTTATCATTTCAGTTTTGAAAAATTAAGGAGATGTTTGTTTCCTGTATTCGTTCTTAATTCTAAATCATGATTCATGATTCTTTATAGTATTTTTTCTCATAAAAAATACACATAAAATAAAAATAATTTTGACTCATAATTCTGAATTTATGAATCAAACGTTCACTAACTGATGATTTCTTTTGGAGATTTATGCAGTTTGTGCTTCCTGTGACATGGTCATATGGGAGAAAATATGGTGTAACATTGGAACAATTAGCTTTATGGTGGAGTGAGAGGCCCGCAAAGCTTGCTGGACAAGAATTAAAGGTTACATTATAATTCATTCTTTTTATTTCTTGTGGAGATCGATTTTATCTTCTTTATGGAGTTTTGTGCACACCAATTAAAAAAGGTACACGATGAATTCTTTTGTGTTCTTTTAAGTAAAAACAGTAGTCTGACTGTTTTGTTTGCCGCAATGGATGTTTTATTATATCGATCTCCGTATTTTTATCATATATATAGCTGATAAACTCGAATTAATAAAGTGAACGGAGCCGTAATATCTTTTTCTATTGAACTATATAGTATTGCATCGCACTCTGTATTCCTCAAATATATCACTAAAAAGTAAAGTTACGTGATTTTTGTTCATTTTATTAATTTGAGTTTTAAATTTTTATAGTTAAAATTTTTAAAAAAATATCACATTTAGTTTTTTTTATTACAATTAAAAACTCTAAAAAAATATCACATCTCAATTCGAATTGAAAATTTGAATATGCAAAGCGAACGAGACCGTAGTTTATCATCTGAATTTCTAACTGATCAGGATTTTTTTTTTTAAAAAGCACTAGTTGAATCTTAATTCTGTGCTGCAGGGGTCCATTGCAGTTGGTAATTATGCAGATATAGTTGTATGGGAACCTGAAGTAGAGTTCAACCTCAATGATGAATATCCTGTATACCTTAAACATCCTGTAAGTCTTCCTTCCTTTCACTTTTCCTACTTTTTAAAATAATCAACTTGTTTTTTTGCTTTGTTTTATAAAAAAAAAAAAAGCAACAAAAAAAAAAGAAAAAAAAGAGCATCCATTTCGAGGTTATTGAGTGGAATTTAGGCAAATAAATTTCAGCTTTCACAAGTCCAACATTCTATTAAAAGCATGATATTTTATTGACGTTTTCCACAATGTTTGAGCCAATGTTAAATTTAGAGGATGTTCATTTTCTGTATTCGTTCTTAATTTTGAATTATGATTTATGATTTTTTATAATATTTTTTTCTCATAAAAAACACACGTAAAATGAAAATAATTCTGAATTATAATTTTGAATTCATCAACCAAACGTCTACTTATTTTTTTTTTCTTTTTCTTTTTTCTTTTCTTTTTTTTTTTCTTGGTGTATTTGTAGGGTATTTCTGCCTACATGGGAAGCAAGCTATATGGAAGAGTTTCGGCAACCTTTGTGAGGGGAAACCTTGTCTACAAAGAGAAGAACCATGCCACTGCTGCTTGTGGTGTCCCAATCCTCGCAATATAGAAGTTGCTGCACCATTGAACTCCTTTTGTTTTCCTCTTCTTTTTTTTTTTTGGTTTATGTTATGTAATTAAACATCGAGTTTGTTGTTTCTTTCTTAACATCATGTGAATATTATGTACATCTGTATAGTACACCACTTTTAAGTACTTTTTCTGTTTTTTCTTTTTTTTCAATACAATACGGAATCAAACCCGCACTCTCAATTGAAGCTCTATCCTAGTTTCTATCCTTTCCTATATCATTTGAGTTGATGGTCACTGATTTTGGTCGGTTGTGTTGAATATCGAAAGTTAACTTTGGGCCGTTCATTTCGTTGATTCGAGTTTATAATTTGAGTTGAGATATGATTTTATGTGAGAGCTTTTTACTGTAGCAAAAAAAATAAATGTGACTATTTCTGATAACTTTTTACTATAGCAAAACTCAAATTTTAAATTCGATTCGGTGAAGTGAACGAGGCATTTAATTGTTTATTTAGCTTAACCTGTGTTGAATACTATATATTAGTAATTAGCAACATCCCGTATTTATTAATAAAAAAATCTTTTATAAAGTTTGTTTAAAAATGTGCCGACCATTTTATCAAAAGTAATTTTTATCTATTGTAAAATTAGTTAAAAGTGGAATAGTGTGCTGATTATTTTGTCAAAAGTAGTTTTATCTTTTGTAATATAAGTCAAAAGTTAACTAGTGTGAATCTTATCTTATCAGATAAGATTGGAGTCTTGTAAACCTAACTTTAACTATATAAGACGATGTATTTCTTTTAAAGAGACAGAAGTCCTTGAAGTAAAGAACTTTGAAAAAAAGAAATAAAAATAGCGTGGCGATGACCAAAGTGGGAAAGAAATGAGAAGAAACAACTGTAATTGGCCGTAAAATGGCTCTGCCCGGCATAAAAGAAAGAAGAAATAAATAAAGGTTCAATCTGATAGATGGTTTCCACAGCAAAAAATCTTATAGATGGTTCCCGAATCGTACCCTAAAAGGTCCCAAACTTAACCTTGAATTGTCAGTTTGTTGCAGTTTTAACTTTTATATTAGCTGGATGTTAAAGAAAAAAGACAGAATATAATGTTTCGTTAGCAAAGTATTATTTTTCATCAAGATCATCGACACGTTCAAAAAAAGTAGCATGTGTATATTTTCTCGTCTTTTTAATATTAACTACTAGGAAGGATCAAAATTAAAACAAACTAATACATTAAAATTAAATTTGTGATGTTTTAAAAGTTAGGAACCAATGTGAAATTAAGGATAAAATTCTAGAACTATTTATGAGATTAAAATAACTAAAGAGCAAGCAATAGACAAAAAACATAAGATTTAAATTTTATTCCTCCTTAAGACTTATACTGTAACTTTATATGCAAACACCAGTTAAAGATTATTAAATCACAAGTTAAAAATTATTGAAATCGTGATCCAAACAGACCCTAAAACTTGAGGTTCATTTAGTAACGTTTTCGTTTTAAATTTTTTTATATAAAAAACAAAAAATGCTTTTTTTTTAATTTTATTTTCATTTTTAAAGAAAAACATGTTTTGTAATTATCTTTTGTTTGATAAAAGAATATAAAAACAATAAGCACATTTGGTAACATTATTTTCGTTACGTATTTTTTTAAAAAAATTATAAATATAGTAAAAGAAAGCCATCAAACACTGTTCACACAGGCACAATTTACTGTTCATTCTATAGCAACATTTGCAAAATTTCGCTTATATCTCTTGTCATTTGAGTGTGAATTGTCAATTTTGCCATTTTTTTCTTCTCTTTTCCCTTCCCTGCATTTGGGCTTTTGCGTCTTTCGTTCTAGGATTGCCACGTGTCGACACCCGGTTGGCCGAAAAAAAAAGTATCGGGCCCACCACTGCGAAACTGCCCTCCCCCTACTGAACGCACTTCTCTTGTGCGTGCTTTTCACGCACGAATCACGGCCATCAAAATTTTTTATCATATGGTTTCAAACCATTTCCGATTTTTGTTGTAAAAAAATTTATTCTTTATTATAGTTATTTACTATTATGAATTGATTTGGAGTTCAATTTTGTCCGTTTTACCACCATTTTTTGTCAATTTTTTTTATATTACTTAAAGAAAAATACCATAAATAATAAAATTAAATTAAATAAAAATACGCTAAATTAAAATCAAATAACACAAAATTAAATAAAAAAATAAACATAAAAATATAATTAATTTAGAACACAACGAAATAAGTTAGATTATTTTACCTCTCTTTGCTTAATATTTCCCCCTTTTATTATTTTCATTTCTTTTATGTCGTCTTTTTTACTTCTTTTTTTTAAACAATTTGTGTTAGTCGTTATTTTAAATTAATCATGTGTGTGTAGCGCGCGTTTGAGACTAAAACTAAACAAAGACTAAAAAAGGAAAACATTGAAAAAAGAAAGATGTTGATTTGTAGCCCGATTTTATCCATTTTAATATCATTTTGCGCCAAATTTTTAAAGTTTCTCAAATGATAATAGTATAAAGAATTTGAACGAAAATAAAAATAAATAAAAATACACTAAAATAATAATAAAGTCACACCTTTTTAAATAAACTAAACATTACTTAAGTGGTTGGAAGAGCAGCACAAACATTGATAAAAAAATTATGCTTTATATTAACAATTGATGAATGCTTTACTGATCCATTTGTAATTTCACCAATCATTGCTCAGTTAAAAGGACAAATACAAATCTTGTAAGTTTATTATCAACAAAGGGGAGCACAAATAACTACAATTGTTTCAAAAATATTTGAAGATGTCCATATTTTAATACCACTACCACAAATATCAGCTGCCACAATACTAGATCCAAAAACACCAATCCAAACAGATTGACCACAAGGTAAGACATATTTATTAATTTATATCAATTATCAATACAAATCATTTACAATTTTGAATATATATCTTAATAATTTTTAATTAATTCAGTTCTGAACTAAAGGCAACAGACCCACCTAGAAAGGCCCAAAAACTATGTAATATAGCTATTTCTAAATCCTTTGATCTACACTATATATAATTTAAATATTTTCAACTTTCTTAATTATTAAAAATTATTTTTTTTAAATTTGTATTTTGTAGTTAAAAAGAACAAAAGGAAAAAAGGAAATAAAAGTTATAATACATCGTAACAAACTTTTAACTATATATAAACTAATTCTATACTATAAATTTTTTAAAATTTTTATATAATATAACAATATTTCCTCAACAACATTTCTCGCAATTATAATATAACAATATTTCATCAACAACATTTCTCGCAATTAATTAAATAGATGATCGATTGGTGTTCGTATTATGTTTGGTAGATGGATTTATTTTCTGATTCAAATCATGATTTGTGGTTCGTTAGTTTATATAGAGTGGTTGAGGGAAGGTCAATTAAAACTAATAGTCCTGCAGACTTGAAAGCTTATTCAATGTTATAGCAAGCAATTAAGGTAAACGCAAACTAACGGTAGTTTATATAGGGTGATTGAGCGAAAATATTCTTATTTTAGTTTCAATGTGGGACTTTTTTAAACGGCTATTAACATGCTCTGTTTTACTTTTCACACCTTTTTACTAAAATTTTTAATTACTAAATTACTCATTGATAAAATTACTTTTAAGTATAGAAGTATTTTAAGAAAAAAACTCATTTGAAGCCTCTTTTAGAAAAAATAATTATTGTTGTTCTTTTTTTAATTTAAATTTTGTTGTTTCACATATATGAATTAATGGGTTTGTTGTTTGCAATTGTCGAACATAATTGTTACTGATCTTATAAGGGCTGTTTGGTATGTAATCATTTTGAGAGTGGGAATGAAAATTTTGCATATTTTTATATTTGATACAAGAATTATTATTTTTTAATTCATGAAAAAATAAATCTCATGGGATTCATTTTATGGGATTCATTTTACTTTATTTTAGAGAAAAATCCACTTACGAAACTTTTTTATCAGAGGAACATGACTTAAAAAAGAAAGAAAAAAGACCAGAATGTGCATGAGAAAAAGTTATTTGAATAAGGAATTAAAAAGAAAAGTATATTTATGAGGGTCAATTTAGAGAAGAGAAAAAGAATATATAATAAGGTAAAAAGGGGAAAAAAAAAGAGAGCCAGGGAAAAGGGAGGAAAGTTTAAAAAAAAATGGAAAGAAAGAGAAAAAAAATAAAGATGTAGAAGGTTAAAAAAAATGCGGCGGGAACAAAAAAAAAAAACCCTAACGAAACATTTAGCGCCACAAAAAAACTCTTTTTTACTTTTATATGTATGTATAAATTTCTTTATTTTCAAAAATTACATGAATCTTCTTTTTTTTTCCTCTTAAAAAGGTCTTCAAAAACTCCTATTATTCTTCATTTTCATTTTCTTTATTTTGAAGTATTAACATATTATTTGTTGTCTAAAATAATGTTAAAATTCCCTAGTAGAAAATTAATTACAATAATTAATGTGAACAAAGTAAATGCTTATCAATGGAAAAGAGAAGACATTTATAAATATCGTTGAGCAACTATTCCATCTTATTTTTAATAAGTTGGTTTCAAATTACAACAATATAACTAAATAACAGTAACGCAACAATTAATTATCCAATTACATACTTTTATTTTGTTATAAGATCTTTAATATTATTGAGCATAATAAAAAATATGTAATTGGATAAACAATTGCTGCACTATTATTATTTAATTATATCCTTGTAATTTGAAACCCACTCACCCGAAATGATTGAACAGATGACCAATTTTCTCAATGATACTTATGGATTTCTTGTTTTTTCGGTTTATAATCAATCACTTTGTTGTTATTAATTATCATAATAAAGTTAATGTTAGGACATTTAATTAACATTATTTTTGGACAAAAAATAACATGTTATACATAAAAAAAAAAATCCTTTTTGGGGACATTCTATCAAAAGAAAATATGTTTTTGCAGATTAAGGCAAAAAAACTTCAAAATATTGAAATTTCTTATGGCATTTAACACCAAAAAGAAGATGGGACTAAAGTTGTTAATAGATTAAGGGCCCGTTTAGTTCGTTGATTCGAGTTTTCAATTCGAATTAAGATGTGATATTATGTGAGCTTTTCACTGTAGCAAAAAAGTTAGATGTGACTGTTTCTGAGAGCTTTTTACTGTAGCAAAACTCAAATCGGTGAAATGAACGGAACCTGAGTTTGAGAACTTGAGTGTCTAAATTCTTAAAATGGGGATTAATTGTGCCAATAGATTAAGAGTTTGGGGACCTGAGTGTCCAAATTTTTAAAATGGGGACTTGCGGTGTCAATGGAGTAAAAGTTTGAGGACTTTGAGTGTCCAAGTTCTTTTTTTTTTTTATAAAGGGAAATTTTTATTACTAGAAGAAATGAATTACAAACTCAACATAAAGTCATACATGACCCCAATACAATGGAATTTGACCCGAATGACTAGATCTACCAATAAAAATAATAATAGCACAAGGGCGAATACGAATGTCGATACTCAAAGGGAAAAAGCCCGATTGGCACAAAAAAAGCGAGCATAGCCAAAGCTCGTTAAAAAGGACTAAACAGTCGGTAGATTAACCTAGTCGATTAAGACCAAACCCCAATACACGGGACATAAGTAACACAACCTAGAGAAACCTCTAGCCGAACATCAAACCGATGTCATTGAGAAACACCTCGAACGGATGGGACACACAAACCAAGCTGGAAGGTGCGAAACCACCTCTGTTATTAAAAAATAAACAGATAACCTACACCATCATAGGGTGTGAGACACAAAACCATGCGGAGGACACACCTCTGTTATTACAACTAAACAACAAAAAAATCTATCGACGCCAAGCCGTCTATTGATGTACGGATGCCAGATCTGAGTAGAGCCACCGTAGAGGGAAAACATGACCAAAGGATATGAAGGAGACACACCATGAGATCATGGCCACCCGTTGTCGAACACACTGAAAACAACGGTCCAAATGACAAGCAACCCATCTCTAAAGCGAGTTAGATCCACCCTAACAGAAGCACCGCACTACACACATCTACCTTCACGTGAAAGTCAACGTTGAGACGAGTCTGAAGGCTAATTTTCGGGACCAGAAGTCCAGCGACCCAAGAGGCGGTGCCGGAGGTGCCGGAACTGCAGCCAAAATCAGCACTCTAAGAAGAACCTCTCTTTCTCTCTCTAACGTTTTCTCTCTCTTTTACTTTTTCCACTAAGTCAGAGGTTATAAAGCAACGTTTTATGGTACCCTTTCTGTGCTTCAGTTTGTTTGTCCCAAAATAATTTGGATACAACTGTTTTTTTTTTTATTTGTCACTTCGTCTCCCTCTCTCTCTCTCTCTCTCTCTTCTCTTTGTCGTCTCTGCTTTCTCTCTTTCTTCTTCTTTTGCA